AGGTGCCACCACACTAATTTACCTTTAAATCGGCTTTTCATTGTCCACAAAAGGTTTGGGGGTAAAACAAAAAAAGCATAACCATTGGTGCCACCCATGCACAAAGTTGTGCCTCACCTGGGCCACCCCATTTTAAAAGATCTGGACACGCCACTGTCAGTGGACCTTGGGTTGAAATGAATATAATCAGCAATGAATGTGAACTAACATGATCAAACATAACTCAGTAGAGAAACAAAACTTTAGCCTAACTTTTCTGAACTCGATGAGGAAAATGAAAAAGGAAAAACATGAAAAACAGAATAAAAGTCTGAGAGTAAATGGACTTTAATCAGAGTTTACGTTTTAGTTAGAAGGGTTTTGTCTCTCCTGAGTAAGAACCCTAGATTCTCCCAGGTGTTTGGTGGGAGTGGGTTAAGTTTGGACAACTGCTCCCGGACAAATAACAGCTCTTCAACACAGGCAGTAAAACAGTAAACTGAATCCTGAAGTAGAAAGGAAGCTGCTGTAGGAGACCAGAGTGGTGATGACAGATCAGCAAACCAACAGTTATAATTAACCAAACAACACTTAGTTGCCTCAGCTTAGCTCAGCTGGTTCCAGTTCTGCTCCTGGTGAGTCCAGTATGTACTGTTGTCCATCGGTCTTGTACCCTATGATAACAAAGTAAACAGGTTCTGTTGTCGCTTAGCGGGGAGGTTCTGTAGGTTCTACAGCACGAAGGTATGTCTGATGTGTTAGAGGTCATAGGTCATGTTAGAGGTGAGGTTATGACATCATTACGTTATAATCGGTTGTGTTTTGCTGCAATGCATGAAAACACAAAGTTAGTGTTTCAGTCGCTTTTTTATTTTGGAACTCTTTTCTGACACCCCGAGGCTCCCAGAGCACCCTTCCCTGTGTGGATGGGTTAAAGTCTGGACTTAGGGCTGATTCATGCTTCTCCGTCAGCTCCGCAAGGGACAGACACGCACGGATTGACGGAAGCGTTTTGCTCTCATACTTCTCCGTCTCCTGGGGAGTGTTGCAAAGCAATTCCCCGGCAGGACAACAGAGGGCGTAGCGCTGTTCTGTGGTATCCTGTCATGTATCGGTCCAAGATTGTGTGTTTATATTGTGTGTTTTGTGTATATAAGAGACTTTTAACACGGACATATTTGTCTGTCATTCTCCTCCACCTCTTCATGCACTCACCACCTCTAAACCCACGTTTCCTGTCATTTCCGTCCACAAATAAAACGCTTGCTGCGCATCTTTTCACTCCTCCAGTCACGGGGGAATTAAACATTCAGATTTTAGAGTTCTTTCACGAGACATTCTTCAAGCTTCTCCGTGTCTGCCGCTAGTTATCCTCAGATCTCTTTATGTTTATGAGGGCGCAATGGCGGCGCTGTAGACGACAGCGGCGTCCTGACCAATCACAAGCTTGCGTTCTCCGTCTCGACAGACGGATGTTTAGAAAAGAGAGCTCGACTCCGTCCGTCCTGGCGGGGCTCTCCAGCAGGCCTGCAAGGACGGATAATGACGTTGCGTGTCTCCGCACTGACGCAGACCGAGATGCATGAATCAGCCTTAACACGGTTCCCAGAACCCCAGTTGGGAATGTTGGAGCCAAACTAAAAACAGCTTTGACAAAGAAGTTTCCAAATGGGGGAGCTGGGAGTTCTGGTGGGAAGGGGGGAGTTCCAATCATGTTTCTGGGTTCTCCCTGGGTGTGTCATTTGAGGGTTTCCAGAGGGGACCATCACCCTTTTGGGGGAGTCGGGCTGCCCCTACCTCCCCCATAAATCAAACCTTTTTTTTGGGGTTCTTCTCGGTTTCCTCCTGTCAGTCTGGCCTCGCTCTCATGTTATTGGACTTTATTATGGAAGACTTTCACAAGAATCTGGAGCCCACCTGGAACCTCTCTAGAACATCTCAGGTCAGCTTCTAGAGAAAAGTGAGACAACTTTGGGAGGAGTTGGAAAGCAATCTGAGAATGACACTTAGAGACTTTATATGCCAATCACTAAAATGTCTCAGCGCGATCTGTTTCAACAGACACAAATTCAGTGTGATTCCATCTGAAAACATACACATCGTGTCACGTTTCACATCTTCATCTGATCTCCAGCAGTGACAGCTCAGTGAGCTAATGGTTAAAAACAGTAAATGGTTTGTGAGCGTGTTCTGGTCCAGCCTCTGAGGTACCAACAGCTCCAAACAAACAAGACAAACTGCTGAATATTTCCTCTCATCAGCTCACAATCTGCCACCATAAATGTGGTCGGATGTGGTTGTGCTGCTGCCAGCACAGCTCAGCAGACCCTCAGAACAACCCTTCACCTTCTACTGACTCACATCCACACCAGGCATCGGCAGATTGTAAAGCAGCCAAAACAAAACATCTTCAGTCCTGTTCCCGATCAAGTTCTCTTTTCTTACCAACTACTTGAGTTCTAAGAATGTAGTTGAACTTAAAGAGCAAGTCACCCCCTACAAGAAACTTACTTCACTCCCTCTTCATGTTTGAAAAATGCAACAAATGATGTTGCCTAGCAGACCGAGAGGGCGGAGCCGCTAACAAATACACACACAGGCTCACAACGGCATTGTGACATCATAATGTACCAGTTTACATCATAGCATACCTCTTAGCCAATAGCGGCGCAGATTTAAATTCCAATGCAGTGCAGAGTTTTTACCTGACGACAGCGCAACACTGACAGTTTTAGGCAGAATATTTAAATTTGAACTAAGATGCACTGAAGTACCAAATTATTGACCACATGTGTCTGCAGCACAATTAGACACACATTTATATAGTTTATCAGCAAAAAAAAAAGTTGATTTTGGGGTGAATTGCTCTTTAAAGAGCAAGTCACCCCCTACCAGAATATTACTCCGCTCCCACTTCCTGTTTGAAAAATGCAACAAATGCCGTTGCCTAGCAGACCGAGAGGGCGGAGCCGCTAACAAATGCACACACTCATGACATTGTGACATCATAATCTACCATCTAACATCATAGTGTACCTCTTAGCCAATAGCGACGGCAGATTTAAATTCAAATGCAGTGCAGCGTTTTTACCTGACAACGGCACAACACTGATAGTTTTAGGCAGAAAACTAAAATTTTTACTAAAATGCACTAAAGTGCTAAACTATTAACTACACGTGTCTGCAGCACGATTAAACACACGTTTATATAGTTTATCAGCAAAAAAATAGTTGATTTGAGGGTGACTTGCTCTTTAATGAGACACTGCTTGCCTCAAACCAGCATCTAATCAGATGTTTCCTGTCTGAATGTGACTTTACTGGTTTATTCTCACTTACAATCTGAACTGCTTTTATCTACACTGGGGTCACATGGAGCTGGGGCCTATCCCCAACGGTTATTTAGAGTGAAGCAAGGGACACATTGGACAGGTTTCCAGTCCATCACAAGGACACAGAGATAAACAACCTCACTCACACAACTAGGGACATTTTAGAGTCATCACCAGTCAACCTAACATGCATGTTTTTGGTCTGTGGGAGGAAATCGGAGCATGCATATCAACTCTACACAAGGTCACAGCTGGGATTTGAACCCATGACCCTCTTGCTGCAAGGCAACAGTCCTTCCAACTGCACCACCATGCTGATAGACTCACTAGTTTGCTTGAGAGAAAACAGCAAAGTACAAGAAAAAAGAGATTTGTAGCTATCTGCTAAACAAAAGTGGTTCTGACAGTTTAAAGCTTCATTGCCCGACCCAGAGCTGAACACATATACATTCTGTCCATTGTTTTAGTTTTTGTTTAGGATTCCATGCAGCCTGCAGAGCAGACGATTAACCGCACGAGATGAAATAATCAGGGTTCAGCAAACACAATGAGCTAGACCAAATTCTTGCTTTGCAAAGTTTTAAATAATAAAATAAAAAGAATAGATTAATTCAGTCTGGCTTGCCAGGCTACAAACACTGAGCAGTGATAAAATTATAAGTCTTACAGACAAGACCCTCAGGGGCCCCTATAGGGTCCCTCATGGGCCCATGTCTATACAATAGGCAGACTTGAGTTGACTTGGCTTGAATGACTTGACTAGATTGGTTTGAGTGGACTTGACTTGGCTTAGCCAGGTATGAACTGGAACGGGAACAGGCTTGTCAGCTGCATGAAGGATGCAGATGATCTGGCAAAGGCTGTGGCTGCAGGGAGCTTTAATCCTGGGGACAATTGGACAGGCACAGGTGAGCATATGGTTGATTAAGTGCAGAGAGGCATGAAAACAGGCAGGAACTACAATCATGATTAAATTTGAGTTTAGATATGACGAGAAGGGCCCTTTAGTGCATGTGAGCATCCACCAGGCAGGCCCAGGCTCATCCAGGCTAGCACACAGACGGTTCCTGTAAAAATGCAGATTTATTTTTAAAAATCCGTTTCTTTTTATGTTTTTGTCTTGTAATGATGGGACTTGTAAATCTGCATCAGAGGAACTTAAACCTTTAATTAAGACTTCATGTGAAGCTGTTGAGTCAGAATCTTATGTTAAAGACTTCCGTATTATTGAGGTTCTTTGTAAAATGTTTTTTTTTCCTATTTTTACTTCACCCTGTGTCTTAATGATTTTTAGCTGTTATTTTTGGGAATTTTGTTGTATTTCCTTTTTATCTTTTATCTGTGTTCGACATGTTTATATAACGCCTGTTTAATTAACCAACATTTTTAGTGTACAGCGCCTTGTTTGGTTGTAATGACTTGTGAATGCGCTTTATAAATAAAATTGGATTGGATTGGATTGGATTGGAAGACTGACATCACACACTGTTGTGGATGCTTTAGGTCTAAACGGATTTCAGTGTTTTAACCGTTTTTATATGTATTTGTTTTATTTTACCAACTCTGCTTTATAAATAAAGTTAACCTTAGGCATGCATTTATGACAGAAACATGTTTTGGACTTATTTGGTGAATACCAAACAAGTCAGATGACACCAGGGATTGTTTTTGCTGCCACCTAGCGGCATAAAACCTCCCTTTAGTTGGAGTTTGATGGCCCATTAAAGAGTGGTCGGACCCATTTGGACCTGCAGAAGTTGGGCTCCTCACAAAAACCAGTCCAAACTTTACTGATTTCATCTGCTCAGATGTGGAACTTCAGAGGGGTTTGTTCTGGGCCGGATTTGCAGACCCCTGAGGACCGGACCATCTGTCTGTCTCGGAGCAGAGCCAGGACTGTGCTCGGTTCGGCTCTGAACGGGATGCATCATGTGAAGTGAGTGGACTCGGTTCTGTGTCCTTCCTCAGCAGCGCCGTGTGATCCGGGTGTTTCCTGTTCGGATCCTCTCGATGACACTACGTGGGCGGTGCGTCGTGGATCTGCGCCACCGCTGCTCCACCATGCAGGAGTCCGGACCGGGATGCGGAGCCGCAGGGACGTGACAGACCGTGTGGTTCCGAGGACCCTGCCAGTAGCAGGACTTCAGGTCCGGTCCGAACGGGCGTGATGATGCTGCGCGTCTGCCCCAATAGGATGGTTCTGTAGCGACAGAGCGAACAGCTTTCTCTCGAACCTGATCAGAACTGGACCAGAACCCGATCGAGCAGCTGATCTGCTGTGGATGTTAAACAGAACCATTTGGAGACAGGAGCTGGTCCCTCTGGCTGCGCGTATTTGGCACAGAACCGTTTCCAGTTTGTGGTTCTGAACCCAAAAGCGGACAGATCCGTCTAATTGGAACCTGAAGACATTTCATTAGCTGGAGAGGATGGAGTGACCCGGTCCGGAGATGCGTCTCAGCTGGGTTTATCTGCTCCAGGTAAGTTCCCAGAAGTTGGTTCTGGTTTAAATCTCATCCCAACAAGAAGCCAGAGAATAAAAATCATCCCGAGCTTTTAAAGTGGACTGCGGTTCTGGGTCCATCCTGGGTCTGTCTGCTAAAGTGATCTACCCGCTGACCCCAAACCCAGAGCAGAGTTCAGCTTGCAGACTCGAGTTCTGATACTGAGAAATCCTGTCCTGACAGAACTGCTGCATGTGTCCTAATGGGTCTAGTAAGACACCTCAGAACCTTATGCTTTGGATCTCCTGATCTCCTGGACCTGCCAGGTCCAGATGTATCACTCACTCAGGAGTTTCTGTCAACAGAAGAAAGTTCCACAGCAATAAGTCCAGCTGTTAGAACTCAGATCTAGTTAACATAAAGATCTAGAAGGTTCTGTTTGGGTAAAATGAAGGATCTGGTTCTGATGTGAATGAGCTTGGTTCTTAGGTGAAGGTCGTCTTTAACCTGAAACCTGATGTTTTCCTAGAGAACAAAAAGAAATGTTTTGGATACCGGAGCTAAGCGACCACACCTGATGCTATAGGAGGATAAAGAACCTGCAGAACCCGATCTTGTGGGAGTCTCGGTGGGACCAGAGGCTCTCGGTCTGAGAACATCTTACAGATTCTGGTCCAGATGCTGGTTCTGGCTCAGGTCCTAATGCTTGTTATGGTTCTGGTTCGTGTTCTGGTCTGGACTAACAACAGCGGGGTATGGTGGAGACAAATCACTAGACTTGAACATCAAGATGTTGGTTACACCTTGAAGGTTCTTGATTAATATGTGGCGTTCCTGTGTGGACTGGAGCATAACAATCTGGAGGTCACGGTGATTGGGCTCAAAGGTCACATGACCAGTACCTTCCTGAGGTCAGGATGAAGCTTTGGCTGCACGCAGTGTAACTTAAAACCGATTCTCAATTAGAAACCAACTGTAGGATAATTAAAGTGTGTGTAGATCACATTGACATATAAATACTGGACAATTCATTTCCATAGGCTCCAATAACACGTTTTTGAGGCTAAATGGGAGGTGGCCACCACCGCCATTTTGACCGTGTCACAGGTTCCGTCAAGCCCAGACAATTCCACAAAAGGGAAGAGAGGTGGAGCTGAGGGTGGGGCTGTAAGGCTGGGATCAACTGACGACACCCGGTCGAACTAGCTACAAGCTAACCTGAAGCTAACCCAAAGCTAAGGCGGAGGTGGGAGCTAAGCTAACGGAGGTAGCAACCTAGCCACAACCGGAGTTAACTGTGCACAACACCAGAGCTTCTGAGTCAGAGATACGCCGGGCTGCCCGCTGGGTAAAACTGGGTGGAACACAGAGGTCTCCCGAAAGCTCCACAAGCCGGCAGACGCACAGCAGGAAAAGCGACGCTGCGATCTGAGATACGCCGAGCTGCCGCTGGGGAGAACCGGGTGGAAAGGTTTCCATCCCAGAGCTCCACAAGCCGGCAGCCCGCGCAGCAGACAGAAGCCGCGATCAGACAGAGATGCGCCGAGCTGCGAGGAGACGAGAACGGGTGGAAAACATCGGTCTCCCGAGAGCTCCACAAGCCGATAGTCGGAACCCAGCTCCACCAACATGTTATATTTCAACCCATTTTCTAAAGTGCAGCATTTTACCCTATTACATTTAAATTTCATGGTTAAACAGTACATGTTAAAATCTAAGCTCAGCTCGGCAGTGACCTAAAATACATAAATATAATTTTACTTACCGTAAAAAATGAAATGGAGACTCCTTGGACGCTCTATTAGTGCAATTAATGCCACAGCAAGTCATTTTGTCCAACAATTGCACAAAAAATATCCAAACAAGAATACACAAACACAGAGACTCAAAATCCCGGAGCAGTTTCCAAGCCAGACCGAGGCTCTTTCCATGGAGCTAGCTCTGTGGTCACGTGTGTCGGATGCTCATTAATTATACAGAATTTTAGGCTTTTAATACACTTAAACAGAAGACTGAGAAAAAAATCCCCCCCCCCCCCCCCCGAGTTGTCATGAGTGTAAACTAGCTAATTTAAACCAAAAACATGTTTTGGTACCAGGCTGTAAACATGTTTATTTCTGCTGTGAAATTGGTATTTTTAACATGGGAGTCAATGAGGATTTGCTCTCTTCTGACACCAGCCCCCAGTGGATGAGGGTGGAACTGCAATTTTTGGTACTTCCGGGTTGGGCTCAATTTTTGAGCCGCATTGTGGAGGCTTGGTAGATCAGCTGATAACCACTCTTGTTACATCAGAACATTTTGGGTTTGGTTCTGATCTCAGGTTAGGGCACAGCTCTGACCTGCCCACACTGATTTTTACTGATTTTTAGCTGATCCTGATTGACCTTAAAGAACCACAATTAACAGAAAATGATTATGTGTAAGAGCTCTGAGTAGACCTGTCCTCGTGCAGGATCAATGCTGGTGTGAATGTGAGTTCTGGACCAAAAGCATTAAAACCTGATCACAGATTTAGCCCATCGTTGTGAAAATTGGTCCATCAGCAGCTGATTTATTTGGTGCATCTCTACAGTTTTGTTACAGCTTGTTGACCCACATACGGTCATTAGACCAGTGCTCATCTGTGATTTTGCTCCTTCTATTGTTTCAGTTCATCTGAGTCGTGTGTAAACCTAAACGACCCCACCAGGCTGCACCTGCAGGAGACATTCTCCAGGTTTTGGTTGAATTAGTAGCTGACTCTGTGTTTGTTGAAGCTGTGAATGAGCGGTGTGTACATTTTACATGGGGGGGGGGCAAGGATGTGCAAAAGGGCCGTGGAAGGTGGCAATGCTACACCTTCTCACTGAAAGATATGAAATTCTTAAAAAATATTTACTGTCATTATTTCTAGTAAGCAAAGATAATTTTCAGGCATTAATGAGAAAAACAAATGCCCCCCAAATAAACACAGATAAATGGAAATATATAAATAGTAAAATTTTAAGGACATACATTTTAAAGACAGAAAGGGAAAGGGCAGCTGGTGGTGGGGAGGCTCTACAGCAGGGGGGGCCCATAGATCCACCCCATAGATCCACCTCTGCTGTGAATATATTGTGACAGTTATAATAAATAATAAAATATGTAAATAAATAATTTATAGTATCGTACTCACAGATGTAAAAAGATCTGGGTTGGTTGAATCGACCCAAGAGTGAGAACTTGAGACTCAAGAGGAAGCAGAGAAATCTTGAAACCATTTGGAGACATTTTGGAGAGTCTGTCGTTGCTAGGTAGTCTCCAGCAGTCTCGGCCCAGTCAGGTTCTGGTTCTGCCAGAACTCCCATCTGCTTCACTGGCTGTCAGCTACCTTGTATCATTTCAGTTTTACAATGAGTCAGAAAAAAACACTCATAAAACTAACATACCTAAAATAAAAATGTATCATAGATTATATTTAAAATATACTATATCAATACGCCCAATGCCTTGAATTCATGAAGGAGTCCAAGCATGAATGCATAAGAATATATCTTAAATCTCTAATGTGTGTGAGCAGGTTATTAAACACTCTTTTAATTGTTTCTTTTTCCAACATTCTTATAAATCCACTCTGCTTCGATAGTTTTTAAGGATTTTTTACAGGACAAGAAATAAACTGGAGCTCAGGTGTCCCACTTACCTGAGCTCATTCTGAACTCAAATGTTCCATTCATTATTAAAATAGCTGCTTTATTAAACCGATTGTGCAAACAGACCTGAATATGTGCAGAAGTCTGAATTTAAAATAACTAATATAACTCTGGACTGAAGGTAGTATTAAAGGTTGAATATGGAACAGTTTAATAAAAAGCTATATATTTTTTTAAAGTAATACCTCCACGGGGCGATTAGAGGTGTGCAGAATGAAGGATACAATATTTCCTTGAAATGTATATTTTAATAAAAAAAATAATGAAACTTTTTTTCGGGCACCAATAGAGGGCAACATTACGGGTTGCCAAATATGGTAAACAGTCCGCTCAGCACAGCTAGGCTGGCACTGTGGAACATGGCGGACTCAACAAATCAACAGCTGCTTCGAAGCTCAGAAGATGCTCTAACGTTGCCACGGTAAGGGAAATGTTGGCCCAATGTGCAGGAACCCAGACCGACTCGAGGAGATGAGGTGTGTAAAAAAACAAAGTCTTTATTTTGAGAAAAGTTCAAACTAAATCCAAAAAGTTCAAAACCAAGGGAGCCAACTAGAACTATACATCACTCACAGGAGGAAAAACTCAAAAGCTGGAAACTAAAAACACTGGGAACTGGAAATCAGGAGGCTACAAACACACTGACAATGAACCGACAAACACAGAGGACAAGACCGGGCTTCTTCTTTTTCTTCTTTGTGTAACACATTCCTATGGAATCCCACGCCTTATGGCTAATTAAGAACTGTAATCTATTTCATTACATTTGAAAAAGGCAGGCTGGACGCCACAAAAGGTGTATTGCTGCCACAACAACCAACACAGCCTAAGCAGCGCCTCCTGTCGTGCTCAACAAAACAAACGTACAACCCCACCCCAATGCACACATAGCCGCCATCAAAAAAATAAATAAATAAATAAAAATAAATAAACACCACCACCAGCACTCACCCCCAGTGAACACACACACACACACACACACACACACACACACACATCACAACCATCACCCACACTCTTCACCAAGGACGTCCCATTACCAGCAGCAGACCCAGACCCCCCAACCCCATGTGAACACGCAGTCCCCCAAACTTCCTCAGGGGACACGTCACCAAACCCCTAAAATGTCTGTGCAGCAACAGTCACCTCGCGTGCAGCATCCGACTTGTTGGTCGCCACATGCTTCACTCTCCACAGGGCCTCTGCCAGAAAGGCCAAAAACTTCCTCTTATCCCTCACCACCATCACTCCCGCCCCCTCTTCCACACCACCAGCCGATCAAGGCCCCTAACCCAACACACCACCCCTCTTAACCCCCATACGACGCACTGCCTCCGCATAAGACACCTAATGCTCCGC